AATAATAATAATAATAATAATAATAATAATAATAATAATAATAATAATAAATAATAGCCCTGTCCCTGATTCCTCTTGGAAAAGCTTTGAATCTGGTAGCAGTATGAAACTACATTGCTGTTCTCTCATTCTGAGTAAAAGAATGGCTCAGTGTATACCACACCCAGGGGAAGATACACGATGTGCAAATAAAGTCAAGAAATTATTTATTTTACCAAAATCTTTAGAAGAGACATTTGGACAGGTGGCGTTTCCCTAAGCAGGAAATTGTTCTGCTCTCAAGAATAACTCCTGTCCCCAAAGTAACAGCCATGCTTTCTTATATCCCCTCTTACATGCTTAAAAATGTGTATCAAAGAGATCAAGGCTGGGATGAAAGCATAGCTTCAACCCACAAAGAAACAAAGGAGCTATTTATAGGGGCCAAGCATAAATAAATGTAGAGCCCAGAGGACTGAGTGCCAGCCAGACCCGCTCGGGCCTTTGTGGTAAAGATGGGCAGAACTGCTTGAGGAACGACTGTGTTTGAGCACCTAATGAGGAGATTCCAGCAAGCAGGTGGAATCATAAAAGAAATTCGACCTCAATAGCTGCGTTTAAGAACCCACCGTGGGGGCCTTCTCTAAATCTAAAGGGCTGTTTCATCTTGGGCTCTTTAGAACCATGGATCAGGAAATCAGAGGCAATTACTATAGGTGGAATCCTATTTAAAAATTATGAAAGAGGGCTGGTGAGAGGGCTCAGCAGGTAAAGGAGCTTGCCGCCAAGTTTGACAACCCCGAGTTCAAGTCTTAGGACACACATGTTGGAAATAGAAAACCAATTCCCATAGTTGTTCTCTGACTGACACCATTGCTCGCTCTCTCTCTCTCTCTCTCTCTCTCTCTCTCTCTCTCTCTCCCTTCCCTCTGTCCCCTCTGTTTCTCTCTGTTTCTCTGCATGAGACACACACACACAAATAAATTTAAAAGCCAATCATGGTAGCACATGCCTGTAACCCAAGTTCCTGAACAGCTAAGGCAGGAGGATCACTAGTTTGAGGTCAGACTGTGTTATGTGGCAATGATCAAAGCCAGAACAAAACAAGAAAGAGCACTACAGAATTTGAAGCTACCAGGGTTGTCTCTGGGCAGGCTCACCAATGGATGGGGCATAGCCATTGTATTTCCCTGAGTCCAGGGCATCTTTCATGGCTTGCGTAACTTCAGGGTCTGTAGGCAGGTTTCCAAAGACAGTAGGGTCACCTGTTCATGGGAGAGGAAAGCAAAAGAGCCACCTAGAGTTTACATCCCCATGTTTGGGTCTCCTCTCCTCTCTTCCCAACAGCCCAATGACAGCCCTCCATCAAGTGGACCAAACTCACCAATTGACAGCGAGATCACAGTTTTGTTTGGATTGGGCTTCACCTTCATGTTGTCCACGATGGCCCGGATGGGATTAAAGGTGTTATTGGACATGTCAGAGGGCCTTACATTCCATCTGGCCTTCCTGCCTTTCATTTTTCCCTGCACCGAGCTTCTCCCACCAATATTGACATGCACATCCAGAACTGAAGGCAGGCTGTCATTGTTTGTCTGGATCATGTAGCGGTCCATGACTCGCAAGGCCTACAAGGAAAAGAAACACATCTTCATGATGACAAAAGCAGGGCACCGTGGGACGGGGGAGCTATGTTTGGACACAAGCAGGGGTGAGGGATAACTTCGCAGATGTATCTTGCTAACTCTTTACAGACTTCCACTTGCAGGTTAGCTTTGCTGTGAAAGGGAGGTGGAAAAATAAAGTAACAACCCATCTTACAAAATTAGCAGGAAGCATTTATTTATTTATGTTTAATTTATCTATTACAGGTGGGGCTTTCCTCTTGCCTTTTGTGAGTGTAGGAGAGCATGCACGTGTGCCGGTGAGGACCAGCACGTGCCACTGCAGTGTGCGAAGGTCAGAGGACAACCTCGGGCGTCAGTCCTCACCTCACACCTTGTCTGAGGCAGGGTCTCTGCCACACCTCGCTGTGGGTTCTGGGGTTACAGATGGGCGCTGACATATATAACTTTACATGGGTCTTAGAGATCTGAACTCAAGTCCTCATCTTGGGTGACAAGTGCTTTCCCTACGAAGTCATCTTCCCAGCTATGAATACGTGGGATTCTTCTGTAGGCCACTCCAATGCCCGTGCTCTAAGACAAGCCAAGAAAGTTTTAATCAAAGCATGTGGGGGACCATCTGTCCACAGAGACACTGCCCCTCCCAACAAAGGGTCTTCCCAGTAATTACTTCAGCCTTGGCAGCTTGGCAAGACCCTGTCTGAGAAACTTTATAAAACTAAGGTAATATCTCAGTGGTGGAGCGCTGGCTCAGCAGTGCCAGAGTTCAAACCCTAAGACCATTGAGAGAGAGAGAGAGAGAGAGAGAGAGAGAGAGAGAGAGAGAGAGAG